AAAGGAGAATCCGGGTTGGTTCACTCAGGAACAAGTGCGTTCCTGTGTATTCCTGCACCTTCCCATGCGTTCTGGTTTTGGCAGCCCATACAGTACATTTGAATGGCAAAATGCATGCTGCTTTTACTAGAGATGCCTGTAAATATTCATGAGGACCAGCTAAAATTGCACCGGATTTCACAAAATATAGTGTATATACCACTTTTAAAAAAACGTCCCGCACCAAATTGCATGGTAGTGCATTACCATGCAATCTAGTGCTGCAAATGCTCTGTGTTTGCCATCTGCAATTAGGGCGATGTTAACAATATATTGGCACTTAAAGCGGATCGCAAAGGCAGTGTGTGCGGGAAACGTGTACGAAATGCACCTTTCTGACACTGTACTCTGCTGTGAAATGGCAGCCAGCATATCTGACACCTGAGGCAAATCATTTTTTATCACCCACCTCCCCATACATCAGGAGTAGGAAACCTTAAAGAGGTGGAGATCTACCTGAACAACATAGGAGAAGTCAAAGAACACCAGGCACAGTGTCTCCTCCTCACACCTGATTTAAACCTCTAATTGCTGTACTACTGCGTTACAATCGTGTGCATTGCATGGCAATCATGGGTTTAAATCTTATGCAACATATCACCTCCTCACCAACTGTCAAACACACTTGGATCACTTTTCAGAGGAGCAGCAGTGCCGGCTGTACTTGTGAATGAGCCCTTAGTTGCATTCTGCAGCTGCACCCTTAGGGCTCATTCACACATACAGTTGGAGGATGGTAAAACCAAGTGGTTGAATAGCAGTATTACTGCTTCCAATCCCTACCCCCTTTAGCTGCTGAGGCATCAGCCAAAGGTGTACTCATTCCACAGCAGGAATTAAACTCCCCTTGGTTGCTTTTGGTGGGTGCTACGGCCTGCCAATCGCAACACTTTCAAGTAAATGGGGCCACCCTGCAAGCGCCTAGCAACTGCATGTTTCTGCAGGGTTCAAGGGGTTAAAGCAGGTGGTAAGAAAGCAACACAACGCTGCCTGTTTTAATCCCTTCTTTGCTGTACCGCATAAGATTGTAGAGCATTTGCAGAGCAACTTCATTCACTTGAATGGGTCATGCTTGGTTTTTTTTTCGCAATGGTTCAAAAAAACGAAAAAACCCGGTAAAGGTGCAAAAAAATGTGCAAGTGTACAATCCACACAAAGAAAGTGCACTTAGGGGTGTGCTTTGTCCACCCCCGAAAGGGATAGGACCTCTACCCTGTACCCCCCAGGGCACAAAGCTCCTGACAGGGATAAGGTTTCCAAAATGGAAAGCCAAAACGCCTGGCAAACCCCTCTCCTTGTGGCCAGCCAAAGCTGACCACCAAGTATTGAATCGATGGCCTCTTCCAAAGAGAGACCCCCCAAGGATTGGGGGAGGAAGTAACCTGAAGCCACAAATCCTCCCCTGGACTTCAGGGCAGGATCAAGGACCCACACCTTCCAACCAATGAGAAAAAAACACACACATAAGTGAAAGCGACAAAACGGTGGAGGAAAATAAATAAGTGGCCATGCAATTGTTTACTGGCTATGCCCTGAGCCAAAAGGCCTAACCCTAGAAGGCACCATGCAGAAAGAGTATTTGGTGTCTGTGACTATGTGCACTGTTCACACCGTGGGGTCCCACACCCAAGTGTTACTAAGAGCACCCCTAGGGCAACCACTCCTAGGGACACAGACACCACGGACTCTCTGCCTCCCCGGCCCCTGGCCAGACAAGGTAGACTCATTCAAATCAGGAGGAACTGGGCCCATATGGTTTTCCTCGGGGAATTACTCCCGTGCGCCAACAGCTTGTCGGCACCCCGTTTTCTGTTTCAGCCAGTACTAGCCTTCAGTGCCCCCATAATACCAGCAGGGGTACTATACAGCCAACCATTCTCACCAGAAAGCAAGAATGATGGTGGAGCACCCCTACAGGATACTCTTAAGAACAGATACTACACTTGATCCTAGCCTAAAGGCTGAGAAGCAGGTGCTACACCCACCAACCATGACAGGGTGTATACTCCTGCTGTGGCTATGACATGTGTACACCCCTGGCCGCTGCAGCTAAAGGTGGTGTGGTCGGGGCGGGGGTGGTAAAAACATGACTTAACTATGGGGTTTTGCCACCCCCTAAAATGCAAATATAAATTATGGGGGACAGAACATGAGACAATACAGTAACAAAACATGAGGGGATCGAGGGCCCTGCTCTTTCGAGCTTACAATCTAGGAGGGAGGGGATAGTGGTACAGGAGGAAATGGCTGTGGGGGATGGAGTGGTAGGAGGAGTGGAGGAGATCGGCTGTTAGGTGAGGGCGGGGTAGGCTTCCCTGAAGAGATGGGTTTTCAGGGTGCACCTAAAGGTGAGGAGGGTAGATGACAGTCTGATGGAATGGGGTAGTGAGTTCCAGAGGATGGGGGAAGTCCTGGAGAAGTCCTGCAGTCGGGCGTGGGAGGTGGAGACCAGGGAGCTAGAGAGTAGGAGGTCTAGTGAGGAGCGAAGATTACGGGTTGGGTGGTATTAGGGTATCAGGTCGGCGAGGTAGTTTGGGGCAGTGTTATGAATGGCTTTGTATGTCTGTGTTAGTAGTTTGAATTGAATGCGTTGGGCAATCGGGAGCCAGTGGAGGGAATGACAGAGGGGGGTGGCAGAAGCAGAGCGGTTGGTAAGGTGGATGAGTCTGACCGCTGAGTTCAGGATAGACTGAAGCGGGGATAGTCTGTGATGAGGTAGTTGCAGTAGTCCAGACATGAGATAATAAGGGAGTGAACGAGTTGTTGAACATTTACTGTTCCGAGTCCCCTATAAGGTTGCTTTCACACTAATGTGCTGCGGTTTACCTGCACCTCTGGTGCAGCGCAGTGCAACTGCAACTTTCCTGGGTTAATTGCGCTTCAGGACTTTTGGTTCGCTTTCAAAAAGTGCACCAAACATGCAGGGTATAATAGAAGTCTATAGCTAAGAGCAGCAAACCCGCAGGAAAGCTGCAGGTACACGGCACAGCGGTGTGGGTAAACCACAGAGCATCAGTGTGAAAGCAGCCCCATACTATTATACCCAGTGTATTGCTTCACACTGACCTGAAGATCTTTTCTTTCCTGCTACTGGCACCACTCTTGAGACCGCTAGCTGAGATAAGAGGTGGAGTGCAGTTGGTACCACTCCATATGGGACAGGAGCCAGCACTACAGAAAGGGCCATCTTTAATATTGATTGGACCCTGGGAAAACCTTTTCTTGGGCCCCCCAACCCCCATACAAATTCACTCTCTGCCTGTTTAGAGACATACAATAAATAGCAGTTAGACTCCAAGTGCGTTTACTGCAGCAGATCAGGCAGCGATTGTGATTGGTTGCCGGAGGTTACAGTATATTATTACAGCTCACCGACTGGTTACAGCACATGATTTCTGCCTGCTGATTGGCTGCTACAGTTTACTGCACATCATTACCACTCACCATTGGTTGCTAGAGGTTACTGCACATCATTACCACGCACTGATTGTCTGCTAGAAGTTACTGCACATCATTACTGCTCACTGACTAGTTGCTAGAGATTACTGCACATTATTACTGCCAACTGATTGGTTACTAGAGGTTAGGGCACAACATTATTGCTCACTGATTGATTGCTAGAGTCTACAGCAGATCATTACTTTTCACTGATTGGTTGCTAGAGGTTACTGCACATCATTACTGCTCACTGATTGGTTACTATAGGTTACTGCACATCATTTACTATGGGATCAGTGGTAGTGCTGGGGGGATGGGATGAGTGACAGTGCTGGTGGGGGATGGGATTAGTGGCAGTATTTGGGGGAATGGGATGAGTGGAAGTTTTGGAGATGGATGGGAAAAGTGGCAGTGCTGGATGGGGATGGGTGGTGACATTTCTACACCAACCACCAATGTTAGGGTGCATTTCACTGATGACCAATGTAAGGGGAGATTTACACTGACCACCAGTCTAAGGGCAATTCTGCTCTTACCAATGTAAAGGGAAATTTACCACCAATGTAAAGAGGAATTTGCACTGACCACCAATGTAACGTTTACATACAGTATGAATGCTGCTGCTATTTACATATGAATGCCAGTTATTTACCTGTGAATGCTGACACGGTCTGCACACGAGTCATCTGTACATGGCAATAGGTCAGAGCTGGACATTAGTGACAGCACTTCACACTGAGATATCGGGACAGAGCCCGGGGACAAAGACTTCGAGGGACAAGAAAATATAAACTGAGACAATTGGCAAGTATGGGGCAGCTGCTTTGGGACCCACAGCAATGAATGGGCCTAGGGCAGCTGTCCCTTTTGCCCCTCCTTAAAGATGGCCCTGACTACAGAGGAGGCATAGTCTTATGCAGCTCTTTCTTCCTACTACAGCTCCAACTTTACAAGTAGTTCCTTGCTTGATGCTCTATGTAGTATGACCCCTTTGTTTTGTTATGTTTTAGAAGATAAAGTGGGAGAATAAGCCCCATTTTTGGAATCACTGGCTGCAATGATAAACTCCCAGAATAATCTTCAATGGGTGCAATGATATCCCCCAGCATTGGTATTTGCTTTTACTTACCTAAGCACCCACCTCCCACACTGCTACCTCTCTTGTCATTGCACTGGAACTATACTTTACTTTCAGGCAAAGTTTCACTGCCAGTACTGGCATTATTTCAGTTCTGAGTACACTCTAATGCAGGCATGTCCAAAGTCCGGCCCGCGGGCCATTTACGGCCCGAGGGTTGGTTTATAATACGGCCCTCCATGTCAGTGTGTCAGTGTGTCTTATGGAGCGGCCGGTCCGGTATTTCCACCGCGGCCGTGTCAGAATACCGGGCCGGCCGCTCAGCTCTGCAGCGGGACCTTACCTGTTCCTCTATCCAGCGGCGCGCTGTCTTCCCGGCTTCTGTAGTGTGGGCATGACAGCCGGGTGCCAAGTGCGCATGCGCAAGAAGCGGTGCTTTTTGTGAATGGTAAGGGCGGTACCTGGGACACATGACAGATCCCAGAAGCCGCCGGCCGACCAATCACAAAGCGCAATTGCTTCTCCGCTCATGCGCACTGGGCACCCGGCTGTCATGCCGAGCCACCCACACTACAGAAGCCGGGAAGACAGCGCGCGGCTGGATAGAGGAACAGGTAAGATCAAAGAATCAACTGCGGAAGTAAGAGCGGGTAACCTGTCAAATTCAGGTACCCGCTCCCCACCTCCCCAAAGGTCAGCAGTCATCTGTACTGTCCGCATGTCCGCAGTCTCTGGTCATCCCTGTGCTGTCCGCAGTCTCTGGTCATCTCCTGTACTGTGTCCGCAGTCTCTGGTCATCTCCTGTACTGTGTCCGCAGTCTCTGGTCATCTCCTGTACTGTGTCCGCAGTCTCTGGTCATCTCCTGTACTGTGTCCGCAGTCTCTGGTCATCCCTGTGCTGTGTCCGCAGTCTCTGGTCATCCCTGTGCTGTCCGCAGTCTCTGTCATCATTCCCTGTGCTGTCCGCAGTCTCTGGTCATCCCTGTGCTGTCCGCGCAGTCTCTGGTCATCCCTGTGCTGTCCGCAGTCTCTGGTCATCCCTGTGCTGTCCGCAGTCTCTGGTCATCCCTGTGCTGTCCGCATTCTCTGGTCATCCCTGTGCTGTTCCGCAGTCTCTGGTCATCCCCTGTACTGTCCGCAGTCTCTGGTCATCTCCTGTACTGTCCGCAGTCTCTGGTCATCTCCTGTACTGTCCGCAGTCTCTGGTCATCTCCTGTACTGTCCGCAGTCTCTGGTCATTCTCCTGTACTGTCCGCAGTCTCTGGTCATCCCTGTGCTGTCCGCAGTCTCTGGTCATAATCCCTGTGCTGTCCGCAGTCTCTGGTCTCATCCCTGTGCTGTCGCGCAGTCTCTGGTCATCCCTGTGCTGTCCGCAGTCTCTGGTCATCCCTGTGCTGTCCGCAGTCTCTGGTCATCCCTGTGCTGTCCGCAGTCTCTGGTCATCCCTGTGCTGTCCGCAGTCCTCTGGTCATCCCTGTGCTGTCCGCAGTCTCTGGTCATCCCTGTGCTGTCCGCAGTCTCTGGTCATCCCTGTGCTGTCCGCAGTCTCTGGTCATCTCCTGTACTGTGTCTGCAGTCCATTAGTTCAGAATTTGTTTTTTTCCTGTTTTCTGCCTCTAAAACCTATGTGCGTCTTATGGTCAGGTGCGTCTTATACGGCAAAAAAATACGGTAACTTGGCATAAAATAATTTATTTGCATTTAATTGTAATGGTTCAAAGAATGTTTGGGAAAAATGTTCGCGGGACGGCGCTCCGCCCCTCCACCATGTTCACTTCATCCAATCTGGCCCTCTTTGAAAAAAAGTTTGGACACCCCTGCTCTAATGTCATTCAGACTTGTTGAAACAGATCCTATTGGACAAAATCCTTGGATTGTGCAGCACTAACAGGGACGGCCAGGAACTATGCTGTCACACAGCCAGACTGAGACCAACACATTGCTGTCATACTGATACAGATAGACATGCGGCAGCCTTCAGTGTACCTAGGCTGTCTGTAGTGTGCGGAGGGATTGGTCAGGGAACCTTGCTGTACTGTGTAGGGTGCAAGAGAGGAGCTTGGTTTCTGCTGTGTGGCTTATAGTCTTCTGGTAGCCATTGTGGGAGATTTCTGTGGGCCGGGAGGTCACCAGCAGAGCATGTGCCATACACAGGGACATTTTTCTGCACCGTCAATGTTGGGAAAAGGGCTGTCCAATTTAGGTAATGAGTATTTCCCCTTCTGAGTGTTTTACTCTGAAGGAGTAGCATGTTTTATAGTACTCAAAAAACGATCACTTATTAATACTGGGCCTGTGGTTGGGGTACCTACCATGGTTGGTATTATCAGGACCCCTGCCAATCCCTGTTTTTCTTTTGCTAACCAAACACAAGGGTTCATTCTTATATGTGTGGCAGCCCTTGCTATACCTTGGTTATTACCAAACTGTTCTTGGATAGTAGGGAGAAGTTGGTCTCGCAGGATGTTTTTGTACTTTATTCATGACTGTGTTCTTAGGAACAATTGTGATTGAACCCACTTCCTTGATTGAGAAGCAACTCCACACATGAATATTCTCAGGATGCTTTATTGTTTGGCATGATACAGGACTGATGGTGGCGCTCACCTTTACTTCTCTAGACAAGTTTTTTGCCGATGCCCCAAACAATCTTCGGAAAGGGGACTCATCAGAAAAAATGACCTTACCCCAGTCCTCAACAGTCCAATCCCTGTATCTTTTGTAGAATATATCACTGTTCCTGATGTTTTTTTCTGGAGAGATGTGACTTCATTGCTGCCCTTCTTGACACCAGGCCATCCTTCAAAAGTGCAGAGCAAAAAAATGTGTTTTTTGTGACGATTTGTTAAGTTTTGTTTTGTTGCATTTTTAATAAAATTGTTTTTGTTTTCAACTGGCTTAAAATTTTTTCCAATGGATTCACAGTATTTGAATCAAAAATAATCAAATTGATCCAAATTTTTTTTGAAATTCAATTTCAGAAGACGGCTATATTCTATTTTATTCTTTTTGAAATCTGAATTTCGGAAGAGTTGGCTATATTCTATTTTATTCTGATCTATTTTTTTTTTTTGTATGCTATTCCTATTTTTTTCAATTCTGTTCTCTAGGCTTTCATTTTCTATTCTATTCTTTCTAAAATTCAAATTTCGGAAGACGACTATATTCTAATACACAGAGTCTTTGAAGGAAATCAGCAATATGTTTACATTTCGAATTTGTTTTTGAATTCAGAGAATTCATTATTTTACACTCATTTAAGTTTGTTACTATTGTAATTCGGAAATATCAGAATCTCCAACTAACTAAAATTGCATCCAAATTTTGATTTGGAACTAAATGAACTGCACATATCTAACACTAATAAATTGAAGTCAAAACTTCATCTCCACTCTATAATCGGTTATGAAAGCAGTTTTTAATAAAAATTAATAAAAGCTGATCATTGTAAACATCCAGCAGTGGTAAATGGTTTGTCTCCACCCTGTAATTGATATACCTGCAGCAGAGCTTTTTTTTTTGAAAAACAGACAGACTTGGTGGCTGGATCACCAGATGAAAATAAAGGAAAGAAACTCTACAAATAAAATCAATGCCACCATCGCTTCTACGATTTGGCAATCTGCAATATAATAAATGTTTGTTTTTGTATTGTATGCTGACAGCTAGCGCCCTTGGCTGTCAGAATACCCAAAGAGTTTCTTCATCTGATTGGCTGCGGTCACTGTGGCCAGCTTTTTTCTGCCCGACTTCTTCGATATCTCAAAGTTTGTCAAGCCAGGTGGTGTTTGCAGGGCCACCCATTGCTCAAATTTTGGCTGATTTAGTTATCATCATTTATTACAGGTACTTAAATAGTGCTTTAAATGCATTATATATTGTACATTCACATCAGTCCCTGCCCTCAATGAGCTTCCAATGAAAGGTCCCTAACTCACATTCATTCATACACATACTAGGGCCAATTTAGACAGGAGCCAATTAACCAACCAGCCTGTCTTTGGGGGTGATTTATAGGGATCTGTTGGAATTCCAGCTATGTATGGCCATCTATAAACATTCTTCTAAATAAAAAAAAAACAACAAGGACTGTAATCTTTTCCTGGTTCACAAACCCACATCAGTATTTTTCATGTTTGAAAAGTTATAGCACATGTAAAAATTCCACTTCTGGATTCAACAGTTCAAGGATTTCAGAAGTAAAAGATTGACATGCATCAGGGTGTGCACCAGACACAAATCACAATGTCTTTATTTATAATGTTGTTAATGGGCTGTGAAATGCAGTTGAATTCCAGTGCCAGCAATCTGTTGTAGAAGTCTTGTCTCGTCTTCAGAGCAGAGACTGCAGAATCTACAAAACATCACAGTCCTCTAGGGAGTTCTGGAACATTATCCTTTATCATGCAATTATCCAAATCGAGTTTGTTTATTGTAGTACCATCAAGGTTGTTTTTCTTTAGTCAAGTAGCTACTGGTTAGCTACACAAATACCATGCATAAGCTACAGGCATTTGGAATTCCAGCCAGTTGCTAGAGCCTTAATAAGGGCCTTTCTGCAAGAAAAAGCAGGATCTTGTGAAATACCACTTTCATGTAAAAGCTTGTTGAAAAGCAAGTCTGTGGAATCCAGCCAATGCCTTTGTTTTATTGTCTTTCACCCTTGTACAGGTGTATAGACACATTGGGGATGATTTAATAAAGGTAAATAGACTGTTCACTTTACAAGGGAATTTTCCCCAAATCTTAGTGAATGAGGTGAAACTCTGTTGACTTTCATCATACAATATATTATATATACACTTTATTGCCAAAAGTATTGGGACACCCCTCCAAATCATTGGATTCAGGTGTTACAATCACCTCTATGGCCACAGGTGTATAAAATCAAGCACCTAGGCATGCAGACTGCTTCTACAAACATTTGTAAAAGAATGGGTCGCTCTCAGGAGCTCAGTGAATGCAAGCGTGGTACCTGTGATAGGTTGCCACCTGTGCAATAAGTCCAACCGTGAAATTTCCTTGCTACTAAATATTTCACGGTCAACTGTTAGTGGTATTACAACAAAGTGGAAGCAACTGGGAACAACAGCACGACTCAGCCACAAAGTGGTAGGCCACGTAAAATGACAGAGCGGGGTCAGCGCATGCTGAAGCGCACAGTGAGCAGAAGTCGCCAACTGTCTGCAGAGTCAATAGCTAAAGCCTCCAAACTTCAAGTGGCCTTCAGATTAGCACAATCAACAGTGCATAGAGAGCTTCATGGAATGGGTTTCCATGGCCAAGCAGCTGCATCCAAGCCTTACATCACCAAGTGCAATGCAAAGGATTGGATGCAGTGGCATAAAGCAAGCTGCCGCTGGACCCTAGAGGCATTGGAGATGTGTTCTCTGGAGTGATGAATCACGCTTCTCTGTCTGGCAATCCGACGGATGTGTCTGGGCTGGGCGGCGGTTGCCAGGAGAACGATACTTTCCTGACTGTATTGTGCCAAGTGTAAAGTTTGGTGGAGGGGGGATTATGGTGTGGGGTTGTTTTTCTGGGATTGGGCTTGGCCCCATAGTTCCAGTGAAGGAAACTCTTAAGGTGTTAGCATGCCAAGACATTCTGGACAATTTCATACTCCTAACTTTGTGGGAAAAGTTTGGGGATGGCCCCTTCCTGTTCCAACATGACTGCACACCAGTGCACAAAGCAAGGTCCATAAAGACATGGATGAGCAAGTTTGGGTTGGAGGAATTTGACTGGCCTGCACAGAGTCCTGACCTCAACCCGATAGAACACCTTTAGGATAAATTAGAGCGGACAATGCGAGCCAGGCCTTCTCGTCCAACATCAATGCCTGACCTCACAAATGCGCTTCTGGAAGAATGGTCAAACATTCCCATAGACCAACTCCTAAATCTTGTGGACAGCCTTCCCAGAAGAGTTGAAACTGTTATAGCTGTAAAGGGTGGGCCAACTCAATATTATTATTATACAGTATTTATAAAGCGCTAACAGTTTGCTCAGCGCTGTACATTACAAAGGGGGACAGAACATGCGACAGTACAGTAACAATACAATGCAAAACACGAGGGGTTTGAGGGCCCTGCTCTTTCGAGCTTACAATCTAGGAGGGAGGGGATAGTGGTACAGGAGGAGATAGCTGTGGGGGATGGAGTGGTAGGAAGAGTGGAGGAGGTCGGCAAATTAGCAGGGGGTGGGGTAGGCTTCCCTGAAGAGGTGGGTTTTCAGGGTGCGCCTAAAGGAGAGGAGAGTATGTGATAGTCTGATGGGTTGGGGCAGGGAGTTCCAGAGGATGGGTGACACCCTGGAGAAATCCTGGAGGCGGGCATGGGAGGAGGAGACCAGGGAACTAGAGAGAAGGAGGTCTTATGAGGAGCAGAGTGTGCGTGTTGGGTGGTACTTGGATATTAGGTCGGTGATGTAATTTGGGGCAGTATGG